TTCCCTGCCAGGCCTGAGCTCAGGAAGAGAAGATCCCAGGCTTCCCCCACAGCTCCTTCTTGCCCAGGCCTGCACCTTCTGTGTTTCCTGGACAGTGTTGAGGTCAATCTCCAGCACATGGTTTTGTAGTCCACCTACAAGCAGGGTGCTGCTCTCAGTCAGGAGGAGGCTGTGCATGTCCTCACTCTCATCCAGGCTGTGGAGGCAGGGAAAGGGTGAGGACCCAGATACCTTAGATTTCTAGCCCAAAGTCCCCAACCTTGGCTCTGAGCCATCTCACAGTGAATGATGACTAGGGGACAAAGCTTCAGGTTTTCTTTGTCAGTTCAGGGCTGGGGAGCCACTTACAGGTAATCAAAGATAATGAGTCCCCCACGGGCCATGTACTTTAAGTTGTTCTTAGTAAGAAAAAGAACACCATTCTCCAGGCTTTGGATCTGTCGAATATCATCACTGCCATTGACTTGGAAGGATGAATAGCGCTCCAGGGCTGGGCCAAAGAATGAGGTGGCATGGCCCTAGAAAAAGGAAAAAGGCAAACAGAGACACATACACTGAGTCAAAATACAAGGCCATGACAGCCAGCTCCCCCTTCTTCCCTTCACTATATAGCATGCTGTAGCAGAGAAAGGGCTTGGACAGAAAAGCAATCTAGCAATCAATTAACAATCACTTACTAAAAGCTTACCAAAAAAAAAAAAAAGCCTACCATGCCACTGGGCAGACAAAGACAAAAATCAAAGTCTCTGCCCTCAAGGAGCTCATATGCCATCAGGGGAGGCAATATGTATACAAATATACAAATACAATGTAAATTTTTGATGGGGAGAGGACTAGCAGCTGGGGGCAAGGCTTCATATCAAAGGTGATGCCTGACCAGGGTTTTGAAGAAAACAAGGAGAGAGAGAAAGGGAGGGAAAGAGGGAGAGAACACGGTTGTAGTTAAATGATTATTTCTGAAGTCAGAGGATAACCACTACAAAGGACTGAGAAGTGAGTGTGGCTGTGCAGAAGGGGAGAGATCTAGGTCTCTAGCAGTAGGGTCTAGTTTCAAGATGGGAGTCAGGCATGTTTTAGGCAACAGGGAAGGAACCAATAGATAACAGTGATGATTCAGGAGGTGTGTGTGTATGTAGGGGTGTGGAATTACAATGGCAATCTATTGGAGAACACAGGAAGTGCTGAGATCAAGGGTAGATGTGGAGATGTTGGCTTTGAGAAGAACCACTTCTTAATCACAGCATGGGGGATGTCCAAGGGTTTTGAGACGTAGAGAAGAAAACAGGGTTCACAACAAGCTATCTCTCTCTCTCTCTCTCTCTCTCCCAGTATGAAATGAGGTCCTCTGCTAAGAGTCATGCTTGAAAAGAGAAGAGGAAGTTTACACAGTCTCTGTGGGAAGTGGGCTAGAGAATTAGGAAGAAGAAAAAGGATTGTTGAGGTAAGGCCCTAACTCTGATAACATCAATCTGTAATGGACCTAGTCAGTTCAGGACCATGATTGGTTCCAACTCTGTTTAATAGCAGTTGAAGAGGAGCAAAGGTGGTGGACAGTGGCAGTCATCCAAGATTGAGCTCTGGCAAGGTGTGAGCACTAATGAGGGTAAGGGTCAAGGAACTGTCAAGGAGGGGAAAAGTTTAGAGTTAAATTGGTTAACCATGAGGTCATTACTAAGAAGGAAGGAAATGAAGGCGACAGCTTGGGAGAGTACTAAGAAATTAAGAATTAGAGGTACTTGTGAGGAGATACAGCAGGCTTAAGGAAGTAGAGCACAGGGAGAGAGATGGAATAACAGGAAGTCAGAAAAGGGGATTATGGAGTTTTAGATCATTGAAGTGGACTACTTTTGGGTGATGCCAGATCTAGTGTTAGATTTTTCCAGTGTATATGTAACATCTACTTGTGGTGTGGAGGGAAGGACTAGGTCATAGAAGGCAGTAGACTGCCAGAGTTACAAAAACACAAACATCATTTCATACCTAATAATCCATTATTGGCCATATGACCAAGAAAATTTTTTTAGAAATCTTTTTGCCCAAAGATATTTATGGCAATATAAGTTCTTACTGTAACAATAATAATAATAATAATGATAATAATAAAAAAGAACAAAAACTGAAACTAAAGTCCAAAGATTAGGGAATGGAAGAACAAACTGGAATGTTAACGTAATGGACTATCACATTAAGAATGACAAGTATGGGGCAGCTAGGTGGTGCAGTGGATAGAGCACTGGCCCTGGAGTCAGGAGGACCTGAATTCAAATCTGGCCTCAGACACATAACACTTACTAGCCTAGCTGTGTGACCCTGGGCAAGTCACTTAACCCTATTGCCTAGCCAACCCCCCTTCCAAAAAACAAACAAACCAAAAAAAAAAAAGAATGACAAGTATGAAAACCATAAAGAAATGTGGAAAGACATTTGAAAATACTGTTAAACAAAGAAAACAGAAATAGGTTAGTGTATACGTAGACTGTGACTAGGTAACAAGAAAATATACAATGAGGTGAATGAAGATTGATAGACAACAGAACACAAAATCGGGAGTGACAAATTGTTACCAATAACTATATACTGAAGGCTTTTTAAAAATAAGTTTAAATAAGAATGTAACTGATTCTGTCATGATTTGGAGCAAATAGCAAATTACTTATTTGAAAAAGAAAGAACTCTGAACTAGAAAATCAGAAGACCTGGGTTTTCAGTTCCAACTCCACCACTTACTTATTGGCTGTGTGACCTTAGGTAAAATTAACTTCTCTGAGCCTCAGTTTCTTCATCTTTAAAATAAGATGTGGCCTTTTGACTTGAATCCAAATTTCACAGAACAAATCCCCTTAATAAAAGGATTTGCTTGGTAAAACTTGGACTCAGTCAAAAGGCCACACCCAAGGACCTAGAAGGCCACAGGTGGCCTTAAGGCCGAAGGTTCCCCACACCTGGACTTAAGGATCCTTCTTGTTCTAAATTCTATGAGTCTATTGGCAACTAGGCCACGTACCCATCAATCATTTACCAGCATCAAATACCAGTATTTAATATCTTTAGATAATTATCTGAGTTGGTTAGAAAAGTGACAAGGAAACCTAAGTCATGGGTTTCATCCAAAGTTGGCTAGTTAGTTTTTGTTCCATCCTCTGAAACTCCCATCTTGGAAATTTTTCATCACACATATGGGGATTGGGCAAGAGAGTAGAGAGACCACCATAAATGTATTTTTCAAAAAACAAACTCCAAAGCTCCACTGGTGGCTCAGTAGTTTTATTTTCACATACAAGGAACAACACATTCTTCTTTACTGAGCTCTAAGAATAATATAGAAGTATACTGGGCACTCAAGATACATAAAAATTTTGTTTAATTCAACAAATATTTACTAAGCACCTACAATATGGACAGTATTGTGCTAGGAACTTGGGGAATTTCAGGAGGTTACAGTCCCTACCCTAGCACAAGGAATTTTATCTCAGAGAGGTTAGAATCTAAAATGATCAAAATGATACATACAAAATATAGAGAGATATGTACAAAAGGCAGCTTAGGTGGCGCAGTGGATAGTACACCAGGCCTGGAGTCAAGAACACCTGAATTCAAATCTGGCCTGGGATATTTATTGACCCTGGGCAAGTCACTTAACACTGTTTGCCTCAATATCCTTATCTGCAAAATGAGCTGGAGAAGAAAATGGCAAACCACTCCAGTATCTTTGCCAAGAAAACCCCAAATAGGATCACAAAGAGTCAGATTGTGAGTGAACAAAAATACATACAAAAATCCTAAAATTACATAAGTACATATGTGAGAGAAGAAAAATAAAGATGTAAGATTTAACTGGCTGTGAAACTAAACTTGTGGAGTTAGTTGGGGAGTCTGACCATAACTTGGGGTAGATCTTGGCAGAGAGAAAAAGACCCACTGGGAAAGGATACCAACTCACTTCCAAACTCTCTGACATCAACTGTCCCCTTACTGGATATTCTACCCATTCTGCCCCTACCACCAATCATTTCTAGCTCTCTGCAAAGTTCTTGAACTTCAATCGCCACAGAACAGTACGTATCTTACCCCATGACTCCCCACCCACAGCATCTCCTCGTGGAGGTCGAAGTGGGAGACGGATACAGGCACGCCCACCTCGGCTACCACACTGTGCAGCTCAGAGTAGACGCCTTCCATGATGTGCACAGACTCTGGGACAGACAGTGCCTCCAGGGCCACTCCCTCGGGGTCCAGCTCCACATTCTGCAGCAGACTAGGGTTCAGGTGGGCATCCAGGACAGGGTCCAGGGTGGGATGCAGGGCTGGGGCATACTCCGTCAGTCCAGGATCCAGGCCCTCAAAGTTCATGACGACAGTCGAAGCAGGCAAGGTCCCCCCACCCTCCCGCCCCGACCCCTTCTACTGGCCAGGTCCTGAACCTTTAGTAGGGGGGCCTCTGAAGGGACATCCTGATCTGCCGGGGGAGACGAACAGCTGTGCTTGGCGGGGAGGAAAGGGGGAGGCAGGCCCAGCTACGGATGCCTCGCCAGAGCCCCCCTGTGGCCTTTCCTGGGTACCTGAGTCAGGTAACCCGGGAAATCAGGCAACTTCCATTGCCAAGGAGGTCTTCCACCCTCTCTCCACAGACCCTAACCTCCTACCGTCCCATTTCTTCCCTGTACCTCTTCCCCACACACTGTCTTGTCTTACCGCCCACACCATCCCCCCCCTTACCTGCCTGGCTTAGCCTAGATGCACCTGGGGTGGGGGGGAGGACGTGGGAAAGGTGGGGAGTGGGGAGAGGGAGGAAAAGCTACCCAGAATCCTCTGGGAGAAAGGGGGACACGGGACACAAAATTTTTCCCAGAGTCTGGGGCCTACTTGTTACCCAGAATCCTCTGGGTGGAAAAACAGGAAGGGGTGGGGATAGGAAAGGCCATACCCATAATTCTCTGGGAAGGGAGTGAGCGGGGGCAAATGATTAGCTCCCGAGAAACCTCTGGGGAATACGCCCAGAATGCGCAGGGGTGGGGAAGGGGAGGGGAGGGCAGGGATTGGAGCCTCCGGGTCCCGGGGCTGCGTGGGTTCCCGCGATCCTTGACGCGCTGACTGGCGTCCCCAACTCTGGAGTGACGGATGCTTTCGGTCAAGGGGACGAGATAAGATTAGGACAGGGAAAAAGCCAGTTCAAGAAAAATGCCTCCGCGGGAAACCCCAAATCTTCCCGGCGCTTCTTGGCCTGCCTAAGTCTAGAAACTCTTCGGACCCGCTCAGGGCCAATCAGCGAGTGGCGTTTGGGGGCTCGAGCCAATCAGGCTGGGCCGGAAGCGCCGAGCTCGGGGAGGGTGGCAGTTGGCCCATTAGTGTCATCCCTGCTAGGAATGTCGAGCTAGGGAGAGGGGCGAGGGAGGGCTACGGGGCGCCGCTAGGGACTTCTTGGGTCGTCCCAGGCCCTTTATTGAAGGGCAGAAAATACTCCTGAATATTATGTCCAACCCTGCCAGTCAGGAGTGCTAAGAGGGTTGGGCATTAGGTCTGGGTTGGAGCGTGTGGCGGGAAGAGCCCCGAATTTGGTATCAGAAGTTCTAAACGGACTTTTTTGAGCAAGTCCATCTTTTGCGATCCCAGTTTATTATCAGCAAAATAAAAAAGTTGCACTAGATCAGGAGTTCTTAACCCCGGATCCTTCAAACTTAAATTTTTTTTTCAGCCAGGGACAAGGTTTGTTAAAGATCTGCCATATTGGCCAGACTCTTAAGGAATCTGAACATTTGTGAGCTATTGGCTAGGTTTTTAAGGAATCTAAGCACCTTAATGGAGACAAGATGGACCTTATATACCCAAAGACTGGGAGGGATCTAGGAAGGATCTTGATGGGAGTGACTGGGAGGTTGAGAATAGGGTCTACATAGGGTCAAGGATGGGAAGCAGCCAGGGGCAGTAGGGAGCTAAGACTAGGCTAGGTAATGGAGAATTGGGAGATTGGGCGTAGGCGTGGTCGATAAAGAAAGGCTAGTTGATGGGATTATAGCCTCAGGGGAATGACAGGGAGGACCTTGATCTAGGGAGAGAATTCAAGGAGAATCTCTTAGACTAATGAGACCCAAATTCTTTTAGGGTAAGGGTCGAAGGTCTCAGCTTCTGAAACTGCTTCCTGCTGGCAAAGGGCATAAAGCTGTCCCTGCCTCTCTGGGTCCAGTTCACGGGGTCAGACGTCAGGTCCAGTGGGCTAGAAAACCTTGGACTCAGTCAGAGCTTGGTAGCCTGAGCAATCACCTGTAACAAATTTAAAATTTAAAAAAAAAAACCTGTTTGAATATAATTGGTTTCCATTATAATCCTGTGTTTTATTCATTTAAAAACCATGATTTTGAGAAGTTTTATGGGTTGACATTCTTATCTCTCCCCTGTCCTGTTATGCTCTCCCATCTTCAGTTCTGATTACTGACCTCCCTTGCTCCTTTTAAATCTCAACTAAAATCCCACCATCCACAAGAAGCCTATCCCAACCCCTCTTAATTCTAGTGTCTTCTCTCTGTTAATTATTTCCTATCTATCCTGTGTATCCCTGACCTTGTATATTTGTTTGCATATTGTCCCCCCTATTGGATTGTAAACACCGTGAGGGCAGAGACTATCTTTTGCCCTTTTTTGTGTGTCACTTGGGCCTAGCATAGTGTCTGGCACTTTGTAGGCATCTAATAAATATTGAATAGATTGTCAAAATCAACTGGCACAAAAAGTTAAGAACCTCTGGACTCTGGACTAGATTTTGCCTGGGGTTCCTTTCAGCTCCACATTTAATGATACTGTAATTAACGAGTTCTCAGCCACACTGGATCCTACATATCCTTCAGACCTGAGTCCTGTCTTTCATATATACTCCACCTATTCTCCAGTGAATACAGTGGAAGGTTAAATGGGCTGCCATAAAACTATGACCTACTGCTCTTCTTTGATCCCCTGGCCCCAGACTTACTTAGCATTTCCTGTGGTGTCCAAATACATGAAAGAAAAAAAGGAAGCTGGAGCTAAACCGCTGCCCAACCCAAGTGACTGCATCCTCCATACGTCCCTCCCAAGGGACCTCTTTCCTGGAACTCCTGTCTGGCTGATTGCTTCTTCCCCAAAGGCCCTGGAAACATTCCCAGGGGACAAGGTTATGCAGCTGGGAAAACTCCCTCAGCCCCAGGAGCTTCGTAGCATCTCCTAAGAGATATAGAATATGGCTTCCCCCCTTCAGAAGGACGCTGGCTGAGTTTTCCCCTGTTACCCCCACTAAAATAATCCAGTAGATTGAGGAGGAACACCACAGAGAATACCACCTATAGCGAGGTTCCAGATAAAGCCCCAAAGATGCATACCTCTATTATTATAATAAGTATCTAAAGTGTTATTACTGTCATTTTAACCTTTTATTTAGTATTTTATTTTCCCCCAGTTACATGTAAAAACAATTTTTAACATTCATTTTTAAAACTTTGAGTTCCAAATTCTCTCCCTCTCCACCTCTATTGAGAAAACATATTCATAATAGTCGTATTGTGAAAGAAAACAGACAAGAAGAAAAAACTCAAGGAAAATAAAGTTAAAAAAAAGTATGCTTCAATCTGTATTCAGACACCATCAGTTCTTTCTCTGGGGGATGGATAGCATTTTTCATCATAAGTCCTTCAGAGTTGTCTTGGATCATTGTATTGCTGGGAATAGCTGTCATTTACAGCTGATCATCTTACAATATTGCTGTTACTTTGTACACATCACATCAGCTCATGCAAGCTTTTCCAGGTTTTTCTGAGAGCATCCTGCTCATCATTTCTTAAAGTACAATAATATTCTGTCATAATCACATACCACAATTTGTTCAGCCATTCCCCAATTGATGGGCATCCCCTCAACTTCTAATTCTTCACCCCCAGAAAAGAGCTGTTATAAGTATTTTTGTACATATAGGTCCTTTTCCTTTTTATTTTTTTATCTCTTGGGATACAGACCTAGTAGTGTTATTGCTAGGTCAAAGGGTATATATGGTTTTATATCCCTATGGTTCAAAATGCTCTACAGAATGGTTGAATCAATTCACAACTCTACCAATGGTGCATTAAAGTCTTATTTTTCCCACATCCCCTCCGACATTTGTCATTTACCTTTTCTGTCCTATTAGCCAATCCAATAGGTATGAGGTACCTATACTTCATATACCTCAGAATTGTTTTAATTTGCATTTCTCCAATCAATAGTGAGAGTATTTTTTTATTTGGTTATATATAACTTTAATTACTTCCTCTGAAAACTTATCATATGTTTTTTATCATTTATCAATTGGGGAATGGCTCTTATTTTTATAAATTTTGACTCAGTTCTCTATATGTTTGAGAAATGAGGCCTTTATCAGAGAAACTTGCTTCAACATTTTTTTCAATTACTGTTATTTCCCTCCATCCTACCCCCCCATTTATTCTCTTCTCTCTTTCCTTTCACCCTGTCCCTCCTCAAACGTGTTTTGCTTCTGACTACCCCCTCCCTCAATCTGTCCTCCCTTTTATCACTCCCACACCCCAACCTCCATTCCCCCTACCCCTGCCTTCTCTTATCCCCTTCCCCTCCTACTTTCTTGTGGGATAAGTAAGATAGATTTCTGGACCCAATTGAGTGTGTATGTTATTCCCTCTTTGAGCCAATTCTGACAAGAGTAAGGTTCACTCACTCTCCCTCATCTCCCCCTCTTCCCCTCCACTGTAAATATTACTATTGTTATTAAAGAGCACATAGAGACAGGGGTGAAAAGACACCTCTACACACACAGGGATCTGGACTGAAATTATCCTCTTCTCAGCTATGGTGACCCAAAGATAGACTGCATCATGGAGTGGATTTAAAATTTAGACTTCATAGAAGGGTTTAGATTGGAAATGTCCCAAACTGAGAGAAAACACCTTGATTTAGAGTCAGTCAATAATCAATAAACATTGTGTCTATTATCTTTCTTAGGAAATGTGCTAAGCTCAGGGATACAAGAAGAGGCAAAAGACAGTTCCTGCCCTGGATCGGCACAATGTAATGGGTGTTCTCCAAATTCAGAAATGCCAAGGTCCCTCAGCCTCTGCCAGGGGCTGCATGCAGCTACAATGCTCCTGAACCAGGTGAAAATATAACTGGGAAATATTTAAATAAAAATACAATAAAAGATAGATAACATTACATTTTAAAAATTAAGTGTGTGGCCAGGGAGATCCTCATGCAGGACTAGTGCCCCCCCTTCTATTTCAATTTGATAACCACTGCTCTCGAAGATTGTAGACAGAGAACATAGACATCCTCCCAAATTTTGAGGTGGTGTATAATGAAGTTTCAAATTAAGAAAAACAAAGGCTCTCAGAATTAAAGGGGCAACTTCCTCCCACTCTTAACCACAGTAGGTCCTAGAATGAGAAAGACTATTCCAATAGACCCCTGGACTAAAATACTATCCGCCTCCCCAGACACCCTTTCAAAGGGTTCAGACAGAGGTCTGGACTCCACAGAGGTCCTAGATGATCAAGTCCCTAGCTCTCACATGCTTTAGCCTTAATCTCTAGATGAAAGAAGGGGTCAGCTGGATCAGTAGCCTTGGGACTGAGTTGGAAAGGCCAGACGAGAGGTGTCCTGGTGATTTGCATAGCGGTCAAGGCCTAGCTGACGTCAGGGAACCCTGGCAGCTCCAAGGCGGGTGGAGTCCTGGGAGAAGCTCTTGCCCTAGAATAGTCCCACAGCTGCCCCAGCAATCCGGCTTCCTATCCTGCTGCCACAGCACCAGGAAGTGAAACAAGACTGCTGAGCCTTGTGCTTGCAATTCATCCTGGTGCTTGTCATACCAAGGCTCCCCGTATCCCACCCCACTCCCACGGCTAGATTCCTTCCTAACCTTCAAAGTCCCACTTCCAGGGGCTTGTAGACCATACCTCCTAGAGCTGGAAATGGGGAGGAAAAGCAGGGACATTTTGTAGCAATGGAAAAAGCTTCCCTAGCAGGAAGGGAAAGGCCTTTTCTCATCCCTCTCTCTCTCTAAAACTGATCTACCCTCTGCAGCTAATGTGTCCCACCCAACACGTGGCTGGATCACAGAGTCAACTTTTTGGATTAGTTCTAACTCTATCCTGTAATCTTTCTCTTAGTTCTCAGGGGAGGGGAGGGAAGGGAAAGGAAGGGAAGGGAAGAAAAGGGAAAACCCCAAATCCCCATCCTGGGATGGGACAAAAGTCAGCCTCTTGGGGAGGCCCTGAGGACCAGCAGATCATCTCCCACAGCCATGGTGGTCAACCATTGCCTCACTTCATGACGTCCAAAGCTGTTCTGGGCCCTTCAGACTCTTGGCATTGCCTGGGTGTAGCAGGAGGGGCTGGGGCAGCCCCAGCTTCCCACTATGCTCTACCCTCCACCCCCACACCCAATCTTGCACTCTCTGTTGCTTTATGTTGCATCATGGTAGGTGATGAAATCAATAGTGAGGCAAAGTTTTTCCACATGGATGCAACTAGCTACAGGGCCCTAGTGCACAGGGTATGGATCTATTTGGATGGGAAGGGAGTGTTTCAGGGTGATATCTCTATACTACTTCTTTTGCTGTCAAGTGCCCAGATGTACCTGGTCTTTCCTGGAACTACTGCCAAGAATTCAGGGCCCTGGCCTGACAATCCATCTATTGATGGGACACATGGTGTGAGTGGCATCTCCTGGCAGGAGATAGGAGAGGAGGAAGAGGGAAGGGAATAAGTATTTATATAGGGCCTACTATGTACCAGGCACTGGTTTATCACTTTTTACAAATATGATCTCTCATGTCATCAGTCAGACTCAGATGCAGTTCAGAAGTCAGAAAGGGGTGGACAGCTCTGGGGTTGTCCATGGACCAACCAAGGGCACTATCAGGAAACCCCTTTAAGCCCACACATGCCTTAGTTTCTGGTCTACTAGGGGTCAAAAGGCTAGGAAATACTATGGCTGTTTTCTGTCTCCTGCCTGAACTAACCCCAGCAATCAGCATTCCTTCTGAACTTTACAGAAACTATGGGACCTATTGTAGACTTCAGGTATAGAATGTCCTTACCTCTCTGGGGAGAAACAAACAAGGGACAGTTAGGTGGCCAAGTGGATAGTGCACCGGCCGTGGAGCAAAGAGGACCAGAGTTCAAATCCAGCCTTAGACACTTACTAGCTGTGTGACCCTGAGCAAGTCACTTAACAATGATTGCCCCCCCCCAACAAATAAATAAATAAATAAATGAAATCAACAAGCATCTATTAAAAAAGAAAGAAAAACAGTTAACCTGAGGAACTGTCTGGGAGCTTTGAGGTAAGAAAATTGAAGCTCTCATCCCAGATAGGGAATCCAGGAATGTCTGGTTCCTGCTTCAAAGAAAGAGGCACAAAGCAGGAGTTGGACCTGGGTCTAAAACTGAATTATCTATTATTCAGAGTGGGGTAGGTGCTTCTCCATCTCAATTTTTCCCTTGAGACAAAGGAATAAAATTATTATGTTTTGAGAGCCTTAGCTTTGGGAGTTAAAAAGAACAGAGAAAGGGCTAGCAAGAGGGAAGGGCTGTGGCCAAGATTTACCTCAGTGGGACAACCCTTGCCTTTTCCTCCCTTTCCACAGAGGCTTCAATTCCTGGAGAGCATTACACATGTCCTATTGCTGGTCTTTAGCCACAATAACCACATGACTTACTTCCCCTGGAACTACAGCCAGATACCTGGGCTCCCCGAGAAGGTGGCGGTGGTGGGTGGGTGTGTGAGAAAAAGGCAGGAGGGAAATCCCACCTGCTGTGAGTCACCTGCCCAGCAGAAAGGGCGGTACAGAGTGGAGAGTTTAAAAAGACACGAGGCAACTCAGAGGGAGAGAGAGAGAGAGAGAGGAGAGAGAAAGAGCCAGAGAATTAACAGGGAAAGCAAAGGATAATACAGAAAGTCAGAACTGGTCACAGATCAGTGTGAGGGGGGTCTGTGTGCTAGATACAGAACTAGCTGCAGAATCAGCTTGCCAGGGAGATGGAGTCTGGACTCAGGGTGATGCTTCTGTCGATGCTGCTGCTGTGGACTGCTGAAGGCCGAGCAGTACCTGGTGGAATAAATGTCGCCTGGGACCAGTGCCGGGAGCTGTCTCAGAATGTTACTGCCTTGGCGTGGGGCATTCACCCGCAAGTAAGTAGCCCCTTTCCTGGTATAAGGTATAGGATGATAACCAGGCACTAGGGCAGGAGGAGTAATACATGATGAGTCTTAAGTCAAGGAAAGGTAGAAAGACCTGGCCTGAAGCTTGAACTTACCAGTGGGCTCGGGATTCATTTTGACTCTGCAAACATTTAAGTACTCATCATATACTAGGTGAATAAGGTATTCTATAAGGGGCAGAGATTTACAGACAAAAAATAACTCCACCACCTCCCCGCAAAAAGCAAAACAAAACAAAAACCGGTCCTGACCTTTAAGAAGTCTAAAAGTTGTGGGGAAACTTGATGATATTGTTTGAACCTAGTTGTACATTTGCTCAGAGACCAGATTTGTTAAAATGCTTAACTCAGAACCTAAGTTGAACTAATAACCAGAAACTCAGTCAGATCCGGAGATTGATGCAAAGAATGTGAGGAGTTAACTCCTGTTAACACATCCTAAGCAACCCATGTTCTTAAGCTAGAAACTGTCTCTGTGCTGGCTAATCAGCTACTGCTTCCTTGTTCTTTTGTTTGGATCTTAGGGAGTGGGCCATCCCTATTTTTGGCTCTCCCCCTCTGCCTGATGACTTAATAAACTTTTCTAAATTATTTAAGTTCTGGGTTTTGTTCTCTGCCACATCATGGTTTGCTAGGAGGTTACATTAGCTATATAAAGAATGATGCAAGGAGGGAAAACAAGAGCGCTAGCTAGCAAATATGATTCAGCAAAGTAGAATCAGAGAAGGTAGGTCCTACAGTAAACTTTGAAGAGAAGAGGAGCTAGGTGGATAGGTTCTGGGGTAAGACTCTAGGGCCAGGCAGAGTCAGAAATGAGAAGGCCCAAGTGGATTCAAAACTTTCTGTGTTGCCTCCCCATCTCCAGGAGTTGCCAAGAGATGAAGGCACTGGAGAAGCTGTAGATGACGTGCCCCTCATCCAGTGTGGTGATGGCTGTGATCATCAGAGTCTCAGTGACAACAGCCAGGTACATGGGACACAATTGGGTCAAACAGAAGCAGAGGAATGGAGGGGACTGTGAAGAGGCCTGGAGAGTCGGGGTGAGTGAAGAAGTACCTATTATCCCCCTTGTCATCATCTTCTCTCCTTTAGCTCTGCTTGCAGAAGATCCATCAAGGCTTAATCTTCTACGGTCACTTGCTGAACTCAGACATTTTCACTGGGGAACCTTCTCTACTTCAGGAAGGTCCTGTGGGGCAACTCCATACCTCCCTGTTGGGCCTTAGCCAGCTCCTACAGGTATGGAGGAGCAGGATGGGTCTGGGACTGTGGACTTGGGAAAGAGTAAACTGAGGGACCCTCAGGAGTTGTAGATAGAAGCAGGGTGGCTGAGAGTTGAGGGTTTCTCTGTATCCCAACAGCCCAAGGACCGTGCCTGGAAGAAACAGCAGTTTCCTAGCCCCAGCGAGCCATGGCAGCGCCTCCTCCTTCGCCCCAAGATCTTACAACGACTTCGAGCCTTTGCTGCGATTGCTGCGAGAGTTTTCACTCACGGGGCAGCCACTTTGAGTCCCTAGGGAATTGGCTAATACTACCTCAACCATCAGAGGGCTAACGTGGATGAGACAGACCGTCACTACGTGTAAGAAACCAAGTAATGCTGAGTCGCACTCCTCAAATACTGATAAAGCATCACAAATGTTGACAACTACCAACACTGACAGAAGCCTGAATACCTGGGCCAGCAGATATTTATTTAGGGAAAATTAAAGTATTTATCCTCATAGGACAGTTGTGGGGGAAGTATTTATGATATTTATGCTAATGTATGAATTTTCTTCAATAAAACTTATTTATGCACAAATTGTATCTGACTTTTCAGGCGTGAGGGAGAGAAAGATGGAGGATAAAGGGAAAACAATATGTATGTCCCTCCTACGATTCATCCTCCCAACCTTTAAGTGGGTAGGAAGGGACAAAGTACTAACTAGTTTTCTGAGGTCTCTTACGCTTCAAGATAAATCCTATCCTTCCTCTTGGTAACATTACCTAATACATGCTAACAGAAGGATGTAGATCAAGAAGATGAAAATAATAGCAGGTGGGGCTCCTTTATTGTATACCCTGCAATTGCCTCTATCCCTAGTTTTTCAGCCTAATGTTTAGTGATTGAAAATCGCTAAATGAAACGAGCCCGAATCATTAAGGGAATGACTATGAAGAGTTGGAACCTATAGGGGGTTCCGGGGACATGAGGGTAAATTCCCCTAAAAACCAATGGGATTCTCCCTTAAAGGACACTAAGGCCCCCACTGAAGGGGATTTTATCACCCCAGGGAAGCTGAAATCTTGGGGATAGGGGAAGGGTTAGTGGGTGCTTCATCCCTCTGTTTCATTGTTGTTCCCAGCTCTTACCTCCCCCTCCTCTGCCCAGCCCTCTCCACCCCCCACCCCCAACCACTGTCCAGGGATGGGACAAAAGAAAAATGACAGGATGGCTGTTAGAGAACACAGTTTATTGTACTGGCTTTGCTCTTGTCCAGTTCTACTGGTTAACTATCATAATAGCAGTACTTGCTTGGCTCCCAGCATCATTTGTTATCAGACAGAGCTTTAGACAACCAGCTGCTCATCACTAAGTGGTTCCAGATATCAAAGTGCACATGTGAAACTTTCGCCAGGGGTAATGAGGGCAAAGGCAGGACAGGAAAGCAGCACAGGAAGAGCACAGAACAGGGTCAGGAGTTCTGGGGTTGAGCTCACATAGCTGCATGACCATGGATAAATCTCTATTTGTAAAATGAATACAGTAGAACTTGTACTTGCTTCATAGGATGGCTACTTTTAGGGAGAAAAGGGCTTTATAAACTTCAAATGATTAGATAACCCAGTTATTATTGATCTATTTACTAGACTCCCACTTCTGGAGAGAGCCTCCCCAAGTAAAATGAGGCAGACATTGCTTATCCCTTGCAAGGAAAAACTGGGTACACAGGACTTCACAAAGTGCAAGGGGAGAAAGAAGAGACAATTTGGCACTGGGCATGGGAGAACAGGAAGCTGTAAAGTTCTGTTTCTTCCTTTTCCTAATTCCATCTCCCTCCCCCCACAACAAACACCAGGCTCTTGATTTCCACCAAACATCGATATCACGATGGAGAGGGGTAGAGGGGGAAGGAAGGAAACAGGGAGAAATTTAATTCCTAGTAATTAGGGAAATCAAAAGTAGTGGCACCATCCATGAAGAAGTGGCTCACAGAAGATGGGGCCTCATCGCCAGGGGACAGGATAGGTAACACCGGGTCATCTCTCAGCAGGATAGCATCATGGGTCAACTCGTCATTTTTCAGAGCTAGGCAGTGCAGAAATGTGAATCAGGTCAAAGGCCCAGTTACAAAGCTGCCTCTCCAACAGCTAGGAAAGACTGAAAGGGTCACATCAGGTGGGAGAGGGCTTGAGAGGAAAGGAGAGGAATGTATTGTACAAATGAACCCTTTACAAACAGCCTTTCTCAGTATGGAGTCAAAAACTTACGCTCTGATAGCAACAGGCTTATGGTACAGTCTAGGTAGATTTTAGGCAGCCTTTGCAGAGCTCACGGACAGTAAGTCAGCCCTCACTCACCTTCAATATCATTCATATTTAGAGTTAGCAGGTCCTTCCCTAGGTCCCGCAGGTCCAAGGGAAGCTCAGGCTCTGTCTGTTCCCACTCTGGATGAAGATCCAGATCAATGTCCAGCACTTCTGGCTGCTGCAACGGATGTGGTGACTGCACATCATCGACCTGCCTAAATACACAAACCAAGAAAGAGACAAAACGAGAAGTCTGAGAGAGTGAGAAACAGAGAGAGAGAGAGAGAGAGAGAGAGAGAGAGAGAGAGAGAGAGAGAGAGAGAGAGTGTGTGTGTGTGTGTGTGTGTGTGTGTGTGTGTGTGCGCACTGTCAATCAATCCATCAACATGCACTTTATTATAATAGGCCAGGCATTGTTCTAAGTGCAGGAGATCCGAAGAAAAAGGAAAAAAAAAGCAATCCCAGCCTTCCAGAAGCTTATATTCTAAGATGTATGTAAATCAGTGGATATAAGATAAATAAGTATAGAAGGTAGCCTTATAGAGAAAGACATCAAGCAGTTGTAGGGACCAGGAAAGTCTTCCTGGGGGAGGTAGGGCTTAAGTTGAGTTTTGTTTTGTTTTGTTTTTTGTGAGGTAATTGGGGTTAAGTGACTTGCCCACGATCACACAGCTAGTAAGTTTCAAGTGTCTGAGGCCGGATTTGAACTTTGGCTCTCCTGACTACAAGGCCAGAGCTCTATCTACTGCACCACCTAGCTACCCCCTTAAGTTGAGTCTTGAAGGAAGCCAAGAAATCTAGAGTTGGAGGCAGAGGAAAACATTCCAGGTTTGAGGGACATATGAAATCACATGGAGAACAGCAAATAAAGAGGTATGGCTGGAACACAGAGTGCAAGGGAGGAACACTGGGTTAAAAGAATAGAAAGAAAGAAAAGGGCTAAGTCATGAAGTGCTTTCAATGCTAAACAGAGGAGTTTCTATTTGCTCCTAGAGGTGATGGGGAACCACTTGCAGTTACTGAGGAGGTGACATGCTAAGACTCAGGCTTCAGTAAAATCATTTTGGCAACAGTATGGGGGATGAGTCTGAGTGAGGAGAGGCAGAGAGACCAACCAGAAGGCTCCTGCAACACAGACCCAGGTGAGAAGGGGCCGGATTTGGATTGTGTTTGTATGAGCAGACGTAAGGGGATTCCTTTAAGAGATCTGTCGAGAAAAGTATGAGGAATAGTGAAGAGGTACAGAGCTGAACTTCTCTTGTTCCAAAGATTTCCAAATAGTTCAGTCATAGGAAAGGAAAGAAGGTTAACAAAAAAGAGAGAATAGAGGAGCAAATGAAGGACAAGAAGACTGGGAAGAAAGAGGAAATCTTTGAGTAAAGCTGAAAGAGCTTGGCATGGGCTGGTGAAGAAGACATGGCAGCTTAGGAAAGGGCCTAAGGAGGTCACATCTCACCTGTTGGACACTACAATGAGTTCCCGGCTTAAGTATTTCCTGTGTTTCGCAAGATCAACTGTGGTAGGAAGAGATACCGTCCAGGTGTTTTTAAGAGGGAAGAATGATGGAGGTTAGCGAATACAAATCAAAGCCTTGGGTGCCCTCCTTCTGCCCTCACCCCCATGCCACCCGGTCTGGTCAGTAACCGGAGGACCCTGCTCAAATCATGCAAGCCTCTCTGAATCAGAGTTCCCATCAAAGAGATGCTGGGGTTGGATTCTACAATCTCTAACAGGACTTCTTGAGTCCTAAGACTCCATGTTTCTACCTTTCTCACGGTAATAGGGTCCAAAAGCTTCATCCCTGGGTATGCCAGGGTAAAGGAAGCATAGTGGGTTCTCAGGCACATTCTCCTCTGCCAGTAACTGGTAATTACGAATGATCTCTGTAATCGGGACCAACTGCAGAATATCTTTAGTGTACGGCTCTACTGATCGGAGGACCACCTTGTCTGGAGCGGGGGAGATGGGGAGAAGACGTCAGAAGGGATAAGGCTTGAGGGAAAGTAGCAGAAGTTTGCCTCTTTTACTTTAGGGCTCCGGCTACCCTCCCTCTCCTCAATCCCAGTCAAATAATCAAAAAGGCCAAACCAAGCAGGGATCAAAACGTGGTAAGGGAGAGGACTCAGACAGGGCACGTCTTGCAGACTTACCATCATCCTGATGTTCCACCCATGAGCAGGTGATGCCTCCCTCTGCGGAGGTCTCACTGAATCTCAGCAGAAAAGTGCCTGGCAACTTCTTCTTCAACAATCGCAGTGCCTGGGCACGGGTCACAAAGCCCTTAATGAGCCTGTTATGTGGGATGCAAAGAAGGAAGTGGGGAATAGCCAGCACATGAGCCCCCTTGAGAAACAGCATGAGTGGAAAGAAGGCTGCTTTCAAGAGTTAGAAGAGACTGAAGTATGAATCTACTTTCTGAGGGTCTGGGATCAACTGATTTGACCTTTCTAGGCTCATTTCTTAACTCTACATGAGGGATACGACATTCATATGTGACAGCACCGCTATGAGGCTCAAACAAGACAATGTCTGTAAAATGCTTTGTAAACATGAAAGGAACATTGAGGTGTCTGTCATTACCGCACCATCTCCACTCTCCAGTCTATAGTTGCAGGGCCCACTGTGCCCACAAGGGGGAGCCCTAAAGCCACCCTCAGTACAGCAGAGCTGGCAAGGTCAGAGCATCATCATACCCATCCTTCCAGATATCCTTCAGGTGGCTGTGCACCAGGTCCAGGATCTTGTCCAACCATGTCCAGAAAGGCATCTTCCCAGGAGGGCTGTCCTGCTACAGGAGAGCAAAGGAAGGGGAAATACCTCAGAGAATGTGGAAGGATCCCGAAGAATGAAGGGGGTCTGCTGTCAGAGAGCATTCATTACCTTGGAGAAGGCAGCCCAGGACAACAACAATTGTGATTCTTTCTTGTGCTCTTGCTCTGAAGGACAGAAGGACACAGGGGCTTCAAATGGAGGGACAGATAGAATGCTGTGTTCAGTTCTGGGAACTATTACATTAAAAAAATTAATTTATTTTTAGTTTTCAACAATCATTTCTATAAGCTTTTGAGCTTTAAATTTTCTCCCCCTCCCTCCTCACTTCCCTCCCCAAGACAGCATGCAATCTGATATAGGCTCTGCATATATATTGCTATTAAACATATTTTCATATTAGTCATGCTGTAAAGAAGAATTAGAACCAATAGGAGGAACCACAAGAAAGAGGAAACAAAACGAAACAGAAGGGGAAAAAAAAAGAGCAAATAGCATGCTTCAATCTGCATTCAGACTCCATAGTCTTTCTCTGGATGTGGATAGCATTTTCCATCATGAGATTTTTGGAGATGTCTTAGATCCTTGCATTGCTGAGAAAAGCTAAGTCTATCAAAGTTAGCTATCACACAACGTGGCTGTTACTATGTACAACGTTCTCCTGGTTTTGCTCACTTCACTCAGCGTCAGTCCACACAAGTCTTCCCAGGTTTTTCTGAAGTCTTCCTGCTCATCATTTCTTACAGCACAAGAGTATTCCATTACATTCACATACCACAACTTGTTCATCCATTTCCCAAATGATGGGCATCCCCTCAATTTCCAATTCTTTATCACCACAGAAAGAGCTGCTACAAATATTTTTGTACGTATGGGTTCCTTTGAACTACTACATTTTTAAGAGAACACTGACAAGCTACTGTGACACCAACAGAGGGTAACGAGAACAGTATTTCAGATGGAGTATGATGGCAAGTGGAGAATGTGCCCTACAAAAAGCCAATGAAATACTGGGCAACAGGCATAGAGAAGACTTAGGCAACGGGCCTTATAACTATGTCTTCAAGTTTTTGAAGCGGTGTAATGTACAATTACATCTGCTCTGCTAGGCTCCAGAGGGCTGAAGTAGGAACAGCAGGTAGAAGGTAGATAAAGACTTTCCAACAGTTAACTATCCAAAAATGGAACAGACCAGGTGGCCAGGAGAGCTTGCAAGTTTCCCATCACTGGAAGCAAAAAACTGGATGGCCACTTGTTCAGAACATCGTCAGGGTACAAACTGGACTAGACAATCTCTGTTGCCCCTTACAACCCTAAGATTCTCTGGCTGGGGCTGGGTGGGGAGGTGTATATCACAGTGAAAAAGGGACAGAAGGTGAAAGGGACTAGATTGGAAACATGGGGAGCCAAAGAAGAATGGAAATCAAGGGGACTGGAATTTATTGAGGGAATGGAAATCGTCTGTACCAAACAGCTTTTTCTTCAACATGTTCAGCTGCTCTTGGTCAAGACTTCGGCCAGTACAGGAAGAGAACTGCCAGCTGAGGGCTAGGCCCAACACTGTCCATGGGGCCTTGGGGGGACTGGAAAAGAACTGCTGGTCCTAGAGACAGGATGGGAAGGACAGCTTAGTTCAAAGGCGCCCATGGTACTCCCCCAGCCCTCTCTGCCACGATTCATCCTTAGACCTGACCTAACCCTAACCCTCCCTCTCCTCCCTCATACTCTGCAGAGTCTCTTCCCAACCTCTCACCTGGGGATCAGAGCTGAGCAGATTAAACCAGAGTATGGAGGCCCAAGCACTGGAAAGCTGGTTCATGTTGGAGATGATCACCACAGGAAGACTATTGGTCTAAGAGGAAGATATTAGGGGAGGGGCAGGGAAGGGAGAGGACGTTCTGTGATGGCAATTAGCAGGAAGCAGGGGCTTGGCGCTCCAGCCCCAAAGGACAAATCCCCCCTCTTCCCCTCCCATCTCTTCTCTTCTCTTCCTACCATCCTCCTTTACCTTCAACTCTAGATTCAGACCCTGGTAGGAGTATTTGACAGTGAAGTTAATGATGTGAAGTTCCTCCGTCACAATGAGCAGTCCCTAAAGAGTCAAGGTCATGGTCAGCGGGCCCTGCTGGCTGCCTGCCAACAGTCCCATCCCCTTCCTTCCTGCTCTGCCCTAACCTCACCTCGCTGCAGCCCTTCCCAGAGCTGCTTGTCTTCTGCTCCTTCAGTGTCTGTGAACAGAAAGGGAAGAGGATGGGAAGGGGTTAGAACGGGGTGTAGCATTTTATGGTTTGCAAAGAATTTCATAGACATTATTTCATTTGATTTTCACAGCAAACCTGACAGGTAGGTATTATTATCCCATTTTACAGATAAGGAAACAGTTGCAGAAAAGTTAAGTGACTTGTCCAGGGTCATCCGGCTAGTAATTGTCTGAGGTGGGATTCAAATCCAAGTGTCTCAGGTTCTTTGTCCAGCACTCTGGCCACTACACCACGCCGCCTCCTCTTGCAATGCTGCTGTGTCACCAGATTTCTCCAATTCACTCATGTTAAAGAGATTACCTAACTCTAGGGTTCTGACTCTACATACCAGGCAGCGGAAGTCCCAGATCAAGCCTTGGCTCCTTCCCTTTTCTGGGGTCAAAGTTTTCTGTTCTGAGGTCAGGATGTTGAACATTCGAAAGCTGCTCCAATTGAAACAATAATAAAACCAATAGCATCAATAACTGGCATTTATATGGTCCTTTTTTCAGGTTTACAAAATGCTTTCCTCATGATAACCTCAACTGGAAGATCAGACAGCATCAAAGACACAGTTGAACTTGCCTCTGGGTTCCCATTTCTGAAGCCAACTTCCACGAGGGAGGGGACATACAGGAAATCTGATAAGTAGCCAGGATCTGGCCCCCCAGCCCCCCTCTGGAGTCTCAGGGATAGGAGACAAAATGATTCTCTTTTGTCCTGGTCATATCCCATTCCACCATGAGTCCCCTGGCTCTTACCCTTTCATCTGGGGAGAATTCCTGTGAAGCAAGACAAGACAGTTAATGGAACAGTCCTTAGAACTGAAGCCTCTTCTTGGGAAGAGACAATTCTCCCTCCAGGGCCCCGATTTCCATCCTCCCTCCTTTAAGTACTTTCCACCCCAGCCCTCCCCATACACACACTCCTCCCGCCCGACTCACTTGTCAATGGTGACGTGCACAGTCAGGGGCTCATTCGCATCCTGCAGCCTCACCAAGAGCCTGCAGAAGGAAAGGAGAAAGCTAGTCAGCCATGGCCTCTGGGCCTGGCCAGATGCCTGAAGAGGGGAGTAGGGAGAGTTTGAAGATAAAATGGTAAGGAAAGAATTACTTTGGATTCGAATCCTAGCCTTACTATTTTCTACCTGTGTTCTCCGGGGCAAATCCTTAATATCTCTGCAAGGGCCTTACTCTCCTCACCTATAAAACAAGGGAGTTTAGCCAGATGAATTCTTAGGAACCATCCAGCTTTACATTTATGATCCTGTTTTTTCCCAAGTCTGTGCTCTGCTCTCATTATTCCCTATGCTTGGAATGGGCTTCACATCCCAGCGTGAGTTCCACCTATTAAAGGGCCTCCTTACTTTTCTTCAAGGCCCATCAGATGGCACCTTCTCTATGAAGTCCTGCCTTACCCACCCAGGTGAAAGTGATCTCCCCCACTTCAAATTTCTCACCACACTCCACCTGGACCTTTCTTTTCCACTCCTCTTAGTCCACCCTTATATTTGGGAATTTACCCTTCTCCCCTTTTAGATTACAAGCTCCTTGAGGGCAGGACCCATGTCATATCTACACATATCCTCAGCAACCGAGAGGAAAGGAATAAAGAGATGAAGAAGGGGAGAGGGAGAATAGAAACTTCTCTTTAACCACAACATAACACATTCATTCAACACAAGGGAAAGAGGATGGCATGTGAGGTGGGAGGAAGAGGGAGTCATAAGTTGGGACAGACTATCACCATGATACCAACCGTGTTTGAACAGAAAACTTATTCCCAGTCTTAAGGACAAGAGGTCGTTTGACAGGCAGGAGCATCTGAGGTTGAGATTCCACTATAAAGGCTCTAAAGTCAGGGGAAGGAAGGGCACTGTCGAGTGTCTGACACAGAACAACTCCCCAGTCTTCTAAGGCCCAGACTTTCCCTCTCTTCCTCCCCAAAGGCCTCCTCCTCTCTCCCCAGGACTGGATGCTTATCCAAGGTGGTACCTGTGGAGCAGGAGCTGCAGCAATTCTGTGACCCCCTGTAAAGGCAGCTTAGTTTTCAGGGGATCATTCTCATAGCTCACGAAGTGGGTCAAATCCTCAAGTTCCTTCAGTTGTTGCTTTAGCTGGAACAATATCTTTGCTCCAGCTGTGAACCTGGTGGGGGAGTTGGAGAAAAAGGGAATGGACGAGATGACAAGACCCATGGGGTCCCTACCTCACCCCATCCCTGAATAGCTCTTCTTCAGTCACCCTGAAGATCTGAAAATAAGACTGGTCACAGAAAAAGCAACTAGGCTGTGGGTAAATCTATTACTCCCAATAGAAAAGGGTAGGCACTGGGGACACAGAGGAGGTGAAGAAGGATGTGAAGAAGTCATTTTCCTAAACAAGAAATCTCAATGAGCACCTTCTGAAAAACTGTTCGAACCCTCTGATAATCAGAGAAATGCACACTTAAGTAACTCTGAGTTACCCAATGATGACTATTAAATTAACAAACAGTTAAAAATAGCAAGATTCAGCACTGTGTGGGCTATAGTGAGATGCATACATTGCTGATGGCGCAGGCTTCTTGAAAAGAAACATGGCAGTTAGGAGTTATAACAATGTTGAACTTAGGCATATCACTATGACTATGCCCTAAGGATGTTACTGATGGATCACTTCCCAATTTATGTCAAACAAAACAAAACAAAAACCTTAGAGTTGCTTTATGTTCAAATTAGCAAAATACAAAAGCAAAACCCTTAGAATCAATAATTAGAGAACAGGTTCACAAATTTTGCGATTTAAGCATCTGGAGTATGATTGTGCCATAAAAAATTAAGAAATATGAACAACAGAACAAAAAATCTAGACTAGACTAGATGAGGCTGCTGGGAGGGGCTGAGTAGGTGGGTAGTTAGGGTCACTTTTGGAAGGTGGGGCGGCCAAGCGTCACTAGAGGAAGAGAGGCAGGAAAGGTCACCTTACCAAGTCTCTAACTGATCCAAGTGGAGGTCCAGAGGGGCCCCAATGCAGGCCTTTCGCTGCTGATCTTTCCACTTCTCTAGCTCCTGCAGCAGGAGCTCAATCAGAGTGGCACATCGGCCATGTAGTGCTCTGGAGGTATCCAGCACCTCCTAAAGCCAAGAAGTGTGTAAGTCTTCACCTCAACCAATAGCCACTGTCCTGCCTCCCTTTACAGCCTGCCCAGGTTACAGCATCATGCCATGGTCTAAGAAACCAGGGTCAAGGAGCACAGGCTGTACTCCACTTCCCCTCGCTCTCCCCGCCCCAAGTTCTCCCTTCTAGGGTCCACCCTCCCCTTCACCCCCTTCCCACCTTCCTTTTTCGGTCCAATTCATTGAGTGTTTCCTGAAGGAGCTGTTGTTGCTTGGCCTGATTAGAGTCCATGGAAGATGTCTTCACTGGACAGCAGAGGCAAGAAGCAAGGATCAGAACCAAGGCTCAGACACCTGGGTTTCTTCCCTGACTCGTCCTGGCCTTGGGAGAGGGCTGGTGTCCCAGTAAGTTAGGCAAAGTATCAGGTAGGACAGAGGTTTTGGAGGAATAGTGAGGGAAGTTCAGCCAAAATCCACCCCATCCTAATCCCCTTTAGATTACATAGTCCTTTAAGAGATTCCTCCAGCATCCTCTCCCCAGGCAATTCCCAGGGTGGCTGGCCATCTCTGACATCTCAATCTACTACTAGGTGACCCCTGCCACCTCATCCTTCCTACACTCCCTCCATCCCCCTCAGGAGCCTCCAAGCAAATGACTCATCTCTCAGAATCACTCAGTCTGAACTATACCTGGAGGGGTCTGTGTCTTATACCGAAAAGAGAAAACATCCTGTAGGTCACTCAGTTGGTAAACATCTTTGACCAGTTTCTGCAAGAGTAGGAGGGGTGAACAAAGCTGAGGTGAGTAAAGAAAGGTAAAGAGTGACATGGTGGATCAGTGGGGAGCCCTGCCCACCCCTCTTCTGGCTCCTATTACCTGTATCATATCCTTCAATTCCTGGATCCGAGACTCAATCTCCTGTTGCTGTCTAGTCTCCTTGGATACCTTAGGGCTTGTGTCTACATGGTCCTGAAAGAAAGGACTATGCGCGCATCTGGCCACAGACCTAGTGCCTGTAGTCCTGCTACTATCTAGTGTAGTTGAGGGACATGTGATGGTTATGCTCTTTCCAAGGAAAATATGAAAGGCATTCATAGTCCTCCCCACCCCACCCCACTATCTCCTCACCCAACACAGGCCTGCTACAACAAAGAGAACTTTCTTACCTGCTGGGTCCTTTGAGCCTGGTTCAGGATATTTCTTTCCTCTAGCAGCAGATTATAAATTAGCCCGGCCAGCTGCATGGGATTATCCTGGAAGAGAGCCTAAACAGGGATGAGGGGAACACAATGACTTCTTCATAGCCACCCTTAGTGCCTCCTGCCCCAGATGCTCAGCCTGTCTCCCACTGCCATCGTTCAGTGTTTCCTAAAGCCTGGATCTATACCCCACCCCCTGCCCTTTTCTGCTCAGTGCCTCCTCCAACCCTTCCACACCCCGACATTCAGGACCTGAATATCCCGGCAGAACTTCCTTAAGTTATGCTGTAGTAGCAGGTCAGAATCCTGACTATAACCATTAGATTGGGAGCCCAGTTGGTCCAAGAGATGATGGAAGAGCAAGTAAGCATGAGATGTATCAGGGCTCATGACTGCTTGGTACCTAGGCAGACAAGATCGAGAAGAAAGTTACAATCTTTGTAGAGGTCACAATCTAGGGGCTCCTGAGTGTGGAGGTTTTTCCTGCTGTCCTAAGACCCCCCTCATGTCCCCTCATGTGCCTCAAGTTCTGGGAACCCTGGGAGAATAGGGACCACCCATGAGTCTCACCAGTTTTGGTCCTCAATCCAAGAAGCTAGGTGTTTCCGTACATCCATAGGCAAGAGACTGTTTGAATAAAGTTCATGGAGCCGCTCTTGGAAAGGCCGGTCTAGCCCCTGCAAGATCTCCCACTTGGCCATTCAGGGCTAGATACTACAGGCCACAGCAAGAAGAAGAGGATCTAACTATGACTTTTTCCCAGGCAGGGTCAGCTCCAGGCACACAGCAAATTCTTATAGTTCCGATAGATCTGGCTCAAACTCAGCAGAACAGTAAGGTCTCTTCTGGCCAAGTATATTCCTGTTATAGAAATAATAATAATAACAATAATAACCACATTTACATAGGGTTTCATGGTTTACAGAATTCTTTCTTTATAATGATCGTGAATGGTGGATAGTGAGATAATTCCCATTTTACAGATAAGGTAGCAGAGGTTCAGCAAAATAATGCGGTATTATAGAAAGTACCCTGGACTTGAGGTCAGGGAGTCTGAGTTCAAATGCTTATTATATGACTTCAGTAGCTATGACCATAGACAAGTCATTTCAGAACTCGGTGCCTCTCAGTTTTCTCATTTGTAAAACTAGTAGGTTAGACTAGATCAGTGGTATCAAACTGAAATGCAAACAGGCCACTAAAACGTATATAAGGATCCCTGCCAGGTGCATGTTGTCTTAGAAAGCTACATATCAACATTATCTATGTTCTCTTGTATTTTCATGTTTTATTAAATGTTTCCCAATTACATTTTTATCTGGTTCCCACAGCACGCAGGAGTTGATGAGTTCCAAGGTCCCTGACATTCTGTCCTCCTTCATTCACAAAGCTGGAACCAGATGCTGAGCCTGGAACTAACCCTACATATTCTGAAAGTTCAGAGCTCTTCCTATTTGGCCTTTCTTGGCAGGCAACTGGAAAACACCATTTTCTAAATCTACCACAAAACAGGGCTCTAGCTTTACAATGTGTCTAACTACAATACATAGGGTCAGTGAGATGGGGGCTCATTCACTTTGTCATGCTTCAGTAGTCTTTTGGCCAGGGCATAGCCTTCTGAATTTCTACCTGCTTTTATATAAATACCAATAGACGCCTTGCATGGCAGTTTAAGTGGCACTTCCTAAAGGGATGTAGTGGTGTAGACAGAAGTGCTGTGATCTGGGAGTGAAGACCAGAGTTACTGTGTGCTATGTGACCTTAAATGTGCCTCTTTTGTTTTGGGCTTTTTTTTTTTTGGTGAGCCAATTGGGGTTAAGTGACTTGCCTAGGGCCACACAGCTAGTATCACATGTCTGAGGCCAGATTTGAACTTGAGTCTTCCTGATTCCAAGGCTGGTGCTCTATCTACTGTGCCACCTAGCTGCCCCAAATGTGCCTCTTAATATGACCTTCCTGAGCCTTCTTTCCCTGAGTTCTATATGTGAGATGTATACTCCAAGAAGATCAAAGAAAAAAAAAAGTTTATGTAGGAGCCAAAATATCCAGGTTTTTTTTTTTAGTAGTACTAAAGAACTGGAAACAAAGTGAGTACCTGAATGTAATGGATTATCATTATATCATAAGAAATGAATGTGAGAAATTCAGAGAAACATGGCAAGAATTATAGGAACTGATGCAAAGAAAGTGAAGTAATTAGAACTAGGGAAACGATTATACAAGGAGTACAGTAATGTAAAGGTAAAGAAATAATAAAATGAAGCCCATACTGTGTAAACTGTAATGGCCCTAGAGAAGAAATGAAGAAATACTTCTCCCTCTCTTCCTTGAAGAGATGGGGGTGGAGAGTAGAAACTACTGATTGGGAATATTGCACATGCTATTATATGTGGTCACTATGCCAATTAGTTCTGCTTAATTGTTTTTCTTTGCTATAGGGAAGGCTCCTCGTGGTGGGTATGGAGAAAGGCTAGAGAGAACAATGTCTGGAAATGATTGCGATGTAAATGTAATAGAAGTCATGGAGGCTTTCAATCTACTCAATCCTGGCCACTTTTGAGTACTGAGAACTGAAGGCCTTGGTCCTTTAGGACGACACAGCAAACCCTAGGTGGTGCCTGTCCCTCTCTATCACCTTGCCCTAGAAAAGGATGGACTACATCAGTTTTAAAAAGGAAAGATAAGTTCCCCTCTCTTTTTCCATCTGCCTTAAATCTCTCTAGTTCATTCTCTCCCATTCCAAGCAACATGGGAGCCCTGGCCAGAGGACTACCTAGGCAAACTTGAGCATGAGTTTGGGCTCTCTTTTGTTTTATTGACTTATTGAGTATAGGTCACGAGCAATGATTCTGAGAGGGATGTTTCCAGCCTCAGAAGCAACCTTGTGAATTCGAGAGTTCACAGCTAGTTGGCTACATTTCAGCAGGAAACCTGACAACTACTATACGGTTTCTTGGGTAGGAAGACCACAGGCAGGAGGACAAGTACAATCATTAGCCTGACTTGCCAGAAGAGAGGGTCTTGGAGGCAAGTGTTTGGACAGTGACTAGCTGAGGTGACAGTAAAATGCTGATTCAGCATTTCCATTCTTCAGGTTTTATTTTAACTCTTAATCTCCAGGGAAAGTATAACAGTAATTACAAAATGCTGCTACTTCTTGTTTAAATTTTTATTAATATGTGCTTTTATGAACCTTTTGTATTTTCAGCATTTATTTTGTGTGGAAGAAATAAATAGCTTTCCTATATCTGATTCACATTATACATTGAGTCCCTTTCTATTCACTGCTTTGAGTGGATCTTAGATACGAGCAAACCTAAGCTTTAATTGATTTCCTTTGGAGTTTTGAGGTGGAGGTATAAAGAGCCAGAGACAAGGAGATAAATGAGCCTGACCCTTCCCTTTGGAGGTCAGGCACTCCCAGCACTGATGTGGATCCATGTGTGCATGGGTCCAAAATAATATGAAATTATATCCCCCAAATTTACAAAAGTGTCCATAACCTTTGATGCAGCATCTCACTACTAGCAGATTACTGACAGCAAGAAAAAGGTTATCATTACAAAAATATTCACAGCACCACTATTTTAATGGCAAAAAGTTACAAACTATACTCAACAAATGGATAATGGCTTAAAAAATTGTGGGATGGCAGTGTGATGGAATATTATTGTACTGTAAAGAATAAAGAATATAAAGAATTTTTAAAATATGGGAAGACGTATGAAATAAAAGAGTAGGAGAAAAAGCAGATGTGTCAGTTTTTGAGGAGCTATGGGAAGACAAGTATACTAATACACTGTTGGTGGATCTAGGAATTAGGCCAACTGCTAAATATCAAGTTAGGGTTATTCAAGAAAAATTACTCAACTGTTCACACACCTTGACCCAGCAGTCTCACTATGGAGCATGTACCCCAAGAAGGTCAAAGACAGAAACAAAGATCTAATACGTGCCAAAGTAGGTGCTCACCCACTAAAGAATGGCTGAAGAAAATTGTGGCACAGGGCAGCCAGGCGTTAGAGTGGAGAGAGTGCTGGATTTGGAACCAAGAAGACCCGAGTTTGAATGACGATGAAGACGTTTCCTAACTGTGTGACCGTGAGCAAAGTCACTAAATCACTCTGTGTGTCACTGTATCAGTTTTCTGATCCAGTTGGAGTCAATGGCCTCTAAGATCCCTTCTGACTCTAAATCTATGAATATTAATAAGATAGTACTGTGCTGAAAGAAATTATGAATGAGGAATTCAGATAAACATGGAAAAATGTACACAAACTGCTGCCACAATGGAATATCAGAGCCATAAAACACAACAAAAAAGGAGGAAATTGAATTCTGTGTAACTGAAAAATCAGCAATGGTCATGGGATGAAAGATACTTTCATTCTCTGGCAGAAAGGAAGGGGACTCCTAGGACAGAATGCTGTAAACATTGTCAGATGTGGTCATTTTGGGGGGATGCTTTTGCTTCTTTATTTTTCTTTGTCATAACATAAATTGTTTATGTAAAAGCAAAAAGCATTAATAAAACATTTTAATGGTAAAAAGCCATGGGGCCCATGTACTAACGTACTATTCAATTCAAACAATCCAACAGATTTCTTTATTGAAATTTATTAAGCATCAGGTAATGCAAGGTACTATGCTAGGTGTTGGAGACTCAGAGACAAAAACAGAACAGTTCCTGACCTCAAGAAGCTTACATTCTACTGGAGCATCACAAGACATATTCAAGGAAGTATCTACAAAGTGTTGTGCTTAACTCTTTTGGAGAGTATATTTTGGTTTCAATTTGTATTTTTAGGTTGGTGGTGTTAAAATGAAATTTATCACTAAAAAAAGATATAAAGTCATACAATTGTAATTTTTAAAAATGGGCACAGACTCTGCTTTCAGTGAATTTATAATTTCATGTAACACTTCCCTCGACAGCCTCCTGCTGTGCCACCTATGTGTTTCTCCTATAAGGTCTGCATATTGAAGGTGGCAAAGAGGAAGTGTGGGGCTCAGAAGCCTTATGGGATTAGAGTAAATGGCATGAAAGAGGTCACAAAAGATGCACAACAGAATTGCTCTTAAAAGGAACAAAGCAGTGCTTGTGGCACTTTCTATCTGGACACTCTGCATTGCAGTCTGTAATACTGGAGTGGTCTCTGGGATAGACAATTTGAGTTAGAACCTTCAGAGAAGGCCCAATCCAATGGAGGAGGCTAAGGTTAGCAGCAGCCCAGTCTTGGGCATCTGTAGGTGGAAAGTGAGAGGCCAACGAGTGACACTGATGGGAAACACAAGAAAAAGATTTTAAAAAATCAAGAGAAAAAAACGTCAATAAAACGCCAGCATAAACTCATAAACCAAACAGACAGGATGCTAAAAGGCAGAAGGAAGAAACTGAGAGGACGAGGGGGAGAAGGGTGAAAAGAAGAGGAGAAACAAACAAATAAATGAATGAACAGAAAGAAAGATAAGATATTTAAGTAAATTCGAACAACTCAGTTTAGGGGAGGTAAAAAGACTAGCACCAAAATAGTATAAGTTAGGAAAAGTAATCACAGAAAGAGAAACAGGATAACCAATTAAAAATAAATGGAGGAAAACACAAATGATTCTAAATATGAAAGGATAAAGCAATCCAATGAAACAAAGGTGTAACAATCTTGTGAAAACAAAGTCTAATAATCTGTACATATAAGAAGCACATTAAAAAAAACCACATGCAGAATGAAAATAAGAGACAAATAAAACATGAATAATAATACAGTAATACCTAGTATTTATATGGAAGCTATTATGTGCCCCATACTACACTAACTGCTTTACAAATGTTATCTTTTTCGATCCTCACAACAACTGGGGTG